TTAAAAGCAATAAATTGTCTTAATTAAAATTATTCTAATCTTCATTAATTTTATTAAATGTACTTGAACATTTTGTTATATTATTTTATTATTTATTAAAGGAAATATGGCTTGGAATTCGGTATTTTGTATCCAACTAGCTCCTTTAATAATGAACTTAGAGATTAAATATTAATTAAATTAAATAAAGAGAAAGTAGGTATTATTTTAAATGGGTACTTAGGTTTTTGGGTACAAATTACACTTGGAAAATATTATCTAGGATAGCAGTTTTTCCTTTCACGTAGCCTTTTGTTGTCATAGTATTGGCCTACTAGTACCACAGCTGGGTTTTTTTGCAGTGTATATATGCTACTTAGTTACACCTCCGTGAGAAATAGGAATAAGTATACCGGTCAGGTTTAGCTCTTATCAATCCCAACCTAGATCGGAAGCCATCGCGTGTTTTCGGGAATCCGTTTATAAGAGATTTTCACCTTCACCCTGAACCCTTGATTTACGTCACGCGGCTTAAATAGTGTCTTAATCAATGATTATTTCTTGTAGTGTATAATTTTTTATATTTACTACATATATACTCCTCCTGCAGAAGTCGATAAATATTTTACATATAACATCACGAGCACAGGGAGTGCCGTCCGCTTGATATATTTATCTATATACTATATAAAGTCTTTATCAATCCCAGCCGAGGCCAGAAGGCTCTTCGAAAGTCTTCGAAGAATTCTTAAATCAGTTCACCAGAGACTTTCAACTTCCACGGTCCTGCAATCTACCAGTAGAAGGATGCAAAGCTTCGGTACCATCTTCCTTTGGGCGCTGGCTGCCTGCACTCTATGGAAAGGATCCTTGGCGACGAGCCTTCGGGGTGGCTTAATGTTCCTAGTTAACGATACGAGTCCCGATAGCATTTGTGTCCCTGAACTACGATCTCTGTTAAACGACGTCGTGCAGACCCAGAACCAAGGGAACACGAACACCCGTCAATCTGACAACGAAATCAAATCGAAGCTGGAGACATTGGAGGTGAAAATTGGGGAAGTGCAGGCCAAGCTTCCTCAGGAGGTGCATGCCAAGCTGGAAGGACAACTACAAGGATTTCAGGAGGGGCAAACCAAACTGGAGGGCCAACAAACCAAGATGGAGGCCAAACTAGAAGACAGTCTGCTTGCGGTGAAGACCAAGCTGGAAGGACAAGGGGTGGTACTGACCAAGGTGAATGACTCTCAGGCAAAACTCGAAGGAAGCCTTCTTGCGGTACAGGAAAAGATTGAAATCCAACTTCAGGCGGTTGTAAATCAACTGCAGGCAGTGTCGAAGAAAGTAGATGCTTCAAAGGTGGCAGTCCCGGCTTCATCCACGGCTACTATTCCTTTAGGCTTCAAGCTAATCGGTAACAGATATTTTCGAATTGTTGCAGAATTAGAGGATTGGGTGACTGCTGAGAGAAGATGTCGTGAGCTGGGAGGTTACCTAGCTTCCATTCAAAATGAAGAAGAATTGAACGCCTTTCAACCAAAACTGTCTGAATATGGCTATTGGCTAGGCATTAACGATCGAGATAGAAAGGGCCACTTCGTATCTGTGGCCTCACACAAGCCAGCACCATTTTTAAAGTGGGATCCAGAACAACCAATCGACAAATACCATGAGCATCACTGCGTCTATTTGATTAAAAACAAAATGAAGCACCACTCGTGTGGAAGTCTTCTTTCCTTTTTTATTTGCCAGACGGACAATAAACCTTAATAAATTGCGTATTTATCGTTTTAAATAAAGTTTATATTAAAATAATAATAACTTGGCATTAATTTACTAAAAAAAAGGGGGCTCTTTCTTACTTTTCAGCAATATTTATTTGTTAAAGGTTTGAGTATCTGCGCTTTTGGCTTAATCATAGAGTTTGGGTTAATCTTTAAATTTAAGTTATTTATTTATTGGGAATTTTAATCCAAATAAATCCATGAAAACCAAACTTGAGATTAAAAAGTTAAATCTTGAGTAAATAAATATTAAATAAAACACAAAATATTGTTTTTTTTCTTGTCTGTTTCTTTTACCTTTGCATGCAAATGTTGTACAAATGTTGCCTTCGATATTGGAGAATTACCTATACATTTATGTATGTACTCATGTACAACCAAAAACTAAAATAAAATTAGCATAATATATTACAAATTGTTGTCTAAAATTATGGTCTTTGGTTTCTTCCTAAACATTAACTTTTTGTATCCAAATTACATTCGGGAAACATTTCAAAAGTTAACAGTTTTGACCACTTTTTGTTGTCAATAAAACATTGTGTTAATGTTCCACATTAAGGGACATTTTTTTCAGTGTCGATCAGAGTACGATCATCGTTATAAATAGCTCTTATCAAAGCCAACTTGAACCGGATGCTTCTTCGGCAGCCATCGCGGGATTCAGAGAATCCGTTGATACGAGACTTCACATTCAGCCATGAAACCCTGATTTAATTTCTTTCTGCCAAGTGTCGACTTAAAACCAATTACATAGTTAATTATTTGTAAGTTATTTAATTTAAGCGCCTTTAATTAACGTGAATAATGAACTTTGAGATTAAATATTATAATCTTGTCTAAATAAAGAGAAAATAGGTATTATTTTAAATGGGTATTTAGGTTTTTGGGTACAAATTACACTTGGAAAATATTATCTAGGATAGCAGCTCTTCCTTTCACATAACCTTTTGGGCCAAATATTAGCACAGCTGGGCATTTTTTGCAGTGTATAGAGATTTTCAACTTTACCCATTTATCCTTGATTAACGCCACGCGGCTTAAATAATGTCTTAATCAATGGTATTTTCTTGTAGTGTATAATTTTTTATATATACTATAAACTCCTTCTACAGAAGTCGATAAATATTTTACGTATACCATCACGAGCACAGGGAGTGCCGTCCGCTTGATATATTTATCTATATACTATATAAAGCCTTTATCAATCCCAGCCGAAGCCAGAAGGCTCTTCGAAAGTCTTCGAACAATTCTTAAATCAGTTCACCAGAGACTTTCAACTTCCACGGTCTTGCAATCTACCAGAAGAAGGATGCAAAACTTCGGTACCATCTTCCTTTGGGCGCTGGCTGCCTGCTCTCTATGGAAAGGATCCTTGGCGACGAGCCTTCGGGGTGGCTTAATGTTCCTAGTTGACGATCCGAGTCCCGATAGCATTTGTGTCCCTGAAATACGATCTCTGTTAAACGACGTCGTGCAGACCCAGAACCAAGGGAACACGAACACCCGTGAATCTGACAACGAAATCAAATCGAAGCTGGAGACATTGGAGGTGAAAATTGGGGAAGTGCAGGCCAAGCTTCCTCAGGAGGTGCATGCCAAGGTGGAAGGACAACTACAAGGACTTAAGGAGGGGCAAACCAAACTGGAGGGCCAACAAACCAAGATGGAGGCCAAACTAGAAGACAGTCTGCTTGCGGTGAAGACCAAGCTGGAAGGACAAGAGGTGGTACTGACCAAGGTGAAGGACTCTCAGGCAAAACTCGAAGGAAGCCTTCTAGCGGTACAGGCAAAGCTTGACACCCAACTTCAGGCGGTTGTAAATCAACTGCAGGCAGTGTCGAACAAGATAGATGCTCCTATTCCATCTGGATTCACCCTAATCGGTTCTAGGTATTTTCTGATGGAAGATGAAACTGAGAATTGGGAGACTGCTGAGAGAAGGTGTCGTGAGATGGGAGGGTACTTAGCCTCCTTTCGAAATGAAAAAGAAATGTACGCCGTTACACAAAAACTTACAGATAGGAAAGCCTATTGGCTAGGAATTAATGATCGCGATAATGAGGGCCACTTCGTATCTGTGGCCTCACAAAAGCCAGCACCATTTTTAAAGTGGGCTGAGGGACATCCAGACGTCACAAACCATGAGCAAAACTGCGTCTATTGGTATAATGGCGAAATGAGTGACATCGATTGTAAAACAGATGCCGTTTATTTTATTTGCCAGGCGGACAAAGAAACTTAGTATAACTCGCATTTATTGTTATAAATAAAGTAATATTTTAAAATAATAATTCCTTACCAATAATTATTCACTTAAAATGGGGTTCTTCCAGAATTTTCTGGCTGAAATATCGAATTTGGGTTACTATTTAAGTTTAAATTATTTATTAAAAGGAAAATGACTTGGAGATCGGAATTTCGAATCCAAATCCAAAATAAAATAAGCATTATTATACATAGGTATTTGGGGATTTCGATACAAATTACACTTGGGAAATCTTTTCTAGGATAATAGTTCTAGAAGAGTCGCGGAAGAGTAATTTTTTATTGCATAGATGCGACTTCAGACTAAATTATCATAGAAAGATTCGCACTCAAAAGTAATGCCATTTGTTCTTGTAAAATTCCTTTGCTTCCCTCATCCCTCATTTCTTCATTTCCTAGTTTTTAACGCTGCTTTTCAACCTACTCCCAGATGACCCTTCTTGGGGATTTTCGTAAATAACTCCTCCAGAAATCGCCATAGCGATTCCCAGAGGTCTCTGCTCGGGGATTACCGAAAAAAGTACTGCAGCAATCGCCAACGCGACTCCCAATAGACCCTTTCTGGCGAGTGGCGATTCAAGAACCAGCAAATGGCCTGCAGGGCCACTTCTTATCTGTGGCCACGCACAAGTTTTAAAGTGTTATAAGGCACAACCCGGCGACAGAAACCATACGCAGAACTGCGTTGTTTTCTATGATGGCAAAATGTGGGACGGCTTTTATGTTGTTCCACGAGCTCCACGGCACTTATACTATCAAATTATTGGGTACAACCAATATCCCAAGCGGGCAATCTCGCTCCCAAATTTTCGTAAAAGCAATATCCCAAAGGAGACATCTCTTTGTAAACAAAGATATATATGTATAAGTCGGAATATGAATATATAAATGTATAGAATCCCAGCCTAAGCCCGATGCCTTCTCGAAAGTCTTTGAATAATTCGGGAATCAGTTCACCAGAGACTTCCGACATCAGCGGTCTTACAATCTCTCCTATTTGAAGGATGCACAACTTCGGTACCTTCTTCCTTTGGGCGCTGGCTGCCAGTATCCTGTGGCAAGGATCCTTGGCGGAGGATCCTCGGTCCGTCTATATGTGCTTCAACGATCCGATAGTCAGCTCCTGTCTGACTGATCTCAAACCCATGCTTAACCAGCTCGTCAAGGCCCAGGACCAAAGGACCCGTGATGCTGAAGCGAAGTTGGACAGATTAGACAGGCAACTACAAACTAAGGCGGAGGACTCTCAAGCTAAACTGAATAAAAGTCTGCTTGCAGTACAGGAAAAGCTTGAAGCCAAACTTCAGGCGGTTCTAAAGCAACTGCAGGCAGTCTCGGAAAAGATAGATGCTGCCAAGGTGGAAAATCAATTGCAGCCAATATCGGATAAGATGGAAGCATGCCAACAAGCAGACAAATTGGCGGCAGTCCCGGCTGCAGCCACGAATACTATACCATCTGGTTACGAGCTAATCGGTTCTAGGTACTTTCGAATTGTAAATGAATATGGGGATTGGGATACCGCTAAGAGGAGGTGTCGTGAGATGGGAGGTTACTTAGCCTCCTTTCAAAATGCAGAAGAAATCAACGCCATTACACCAAAACTAAAAGCATATCACAACTATTGGCTAGGAATTAATGATCGCGATAAAGAGGGCCACTTCGTATCTGTGGCCTCACAAAAGCCAGCGCCATTTTTAAAGTGGGCTAGGGGACATCCAGACGTCACAAACCATGAGCAGAACTGCGTCTCTTTGTATAAAGGCGAAATGAGTGACATCGATTGTAAAACAGATGCCGTTTATTTTATTTGCCAGGCGGACAATGAAACTTAGTATAACTCGCATTTATTGTTATAAATAAAGTAATATTTTAAAATAATAATTTCTTGTCAATAATTTACTTAAAATGGGGTTCATCCAGAATTTTCTGGCTGAAATATCGAGTTGGGGTTACTATTTAAGTTTAAATTATTTATTAACAAGAAAGGAAGCTAACTTCGGCACACCGAAGTTTGTATACCCTTGCAGATTGGTTTTGATGTTTATATTATAAATTTAAATGCTGAAAACACTCACAAAACAGAGTTTCATTACATTTTACCTATACTTATTATGTTTACAGTTTGACAGTTACAGTTTTACATTCCCAGCTTTACATTTTCTCCACATTTACCGATCGTTTATATGGCAGCTATATGATGTAGTTCTCCGATTTTCATAAAATTTTTACCAAAATTCTGGAATAATATAAAATGGCTATATTTTAAAAATGATGCAAAAATATTGAAAAACAGCCAAGTTATAATTTTTTTTCTAAAAATTGATCGAACATTTGTATGGGAGCTATATGATACAGTCGTCCGATCCGGCCCGTTCCGACATATATAGCAGTGAGAGCATATAGAAGACTCTATGCAAAGTTTCATTCAGATAGCTTTAAAACTGAGGGACTAGTTTGCGTAGAAACAGACAGACGGACAGACAGACAGACGGACAGACAGACAGACGGACAGACAGACAGACGGACAGACAGACAGACGGACAGACGGACAGGGCTAGATCGACTCGGCTGTTGATGCTGATCAAGAATATATATAGTTTATAGAACCGAAAATGTCTACTACTACTACTTCTCTACTCTTAGATATATTAAGCTTGGTTTATTTATCCCCTTGAAATATCTGGAAAACTTTTATTTTTAAATATCAGCATTTAAATCAATTCCAAAGAAACCATCATCCAGGGATCAATTTTCACAAAGAATCAAGAATAAAATAACTGCCATCATGCTGATAATTTTAAATTTTAAATTGACGTGGAACTTTAAAATATTCGTGTTTTCTTATCAATTAAAACAATCGATTTTTTTTTGAGGTGAGCGCTTTTGTTACTCACAAATCTCGGCTGTTGCTAGTTGCTGGTCAATAAAACATATATGTATGCATGTGCAAATGTACTTCAACTTTCATAGAAAATTACACTGGAAGAATAGTACAGATATTGGTAGACAATTTGCAATTTATCATTAATTATATATCCAAATCATAATATGCCGGATACAATTTAAGCATACTCCGCTAGCTACTTGAAATGCAAATAAAAAGATAATATATGGGCTAAAAGTGGATTTCTTAATAAAATATATTTATTTATGTGTAGTATGTCATCGTTGAACATTTTTGTAAGTGTACCTTTTTTTATGTAGATCCGCTTTTAATACATAAACACCTAGAGTTATATATATATACTCGTATATAGGAGCAAGAGAGTGTCGTCATCTATTTAAATAATTCTTATCAATCCCCGACGAAGCCGGATGCCTCTTCGAAAGTCTTTGAATAATTCGGGAATCAGTTCCTCAGAGACTTTCATCTACCGTAGTCTTATAATCTCCCAGTTCAAGGATGCACAACTTTGGTACCTTCTGCTTTTGGATGCTGTCTGCCTGTATCCTGTGGCAAGGATCCTTGGCGGAGGACCAGTCGGGCTTCGTTTGCCTGATAGACAAACCAAATCCAAATCACTGCGAAAATATCTATCTCACTCAACTGCAGTCGCTGCTCAACAAAGTGGAGAGGGGCCAGCACCGTAACACGCAGCTTAACAGGCTGGTGGATCAGCAGGGTAAGCTGAAAGGCCAACTTCAGGAGATGCAGTCCAAGCTGGAAGAACAACTTAAAGGAGTGGAAGCTAAGCTTGATGGTCAACTTAAGGCGGTACAAACCAAGTTTGAGGAGTCGCAAGCAAAATTGCTTGCGGGACAGGCAAAGCTTGACACCCAACTTCAGGCGGTTGTAAATCAACTGCAGGCAGTGTCGAACAAAATAGATGCTGCAAAGGGGGTAGTCCCGGCTTCATCCACGATTACAATTCCACCTGGATTCGAGCTAATCGGTACCAGATATTTTCGAATTGTAAATGAATGGGCAAATTGGGAGACTGCTGAGAGAAGGTGTCGTGAGATGGGAGGTTACTTAGCCTCCTTTCAAAATGAAGAAGAATTCAACACCATTTATCCAAAACTTGTTATTTGGCCGCCTTACTGGCTAGGCATTAATGATCAACATAATGAGGGCCACTTTGTATCTGTGGCCTCACAAAAGCCAGCACCATTTTTAAAGTGGGTTGAGGGACAACCAGACGACGGAAACCATGAGCAGAACTGCGTCTATTTGTATAAAGGCAAAATAGGGGATTACGACTGTAATGAAACATTATATTTTATTTGTATTTATCATTTTAAATAAAGTTATATTTTAAAATAATAATACCCTTGCACATACTTTACTAACAAAAAAAGGGTCTTCCTGACATTTCAGCAATATTTATAAGATAAAAGTTTGAGAAGAATTATTTAGCCTTCTTGATTAATTATCGAGTTTGGATTATTAAATAAATAATAAATAATTTAAAATATTAATATAAAGGAAAATTGCATTGAATTTGGAATTTTTAGCCCAATTTAAAAAAAAAATGCCTCATTCTATTATTTTATTTATGTGTTAAAATTTTAACAACATTTTAAGCTTCCCAAGTACTAAATTTTTTTGTATAATTTTTTTATATTATATATATAATACAAAAATTTAAAAGAATATAAATATGAAAGCTCTTTTTTTTATAACGCAAATAAGGGAAAGATGATTTGTCAAAAATTAACAAAAACATCCGATAACATCCCTAAAAACATAAAAATGAATCGATGTTTTCAGCATCACTAATATCGAATATCGATAGGCAACAGGTGAGCGCAATCGATAGGCGGTCGACGATAGCCAGCTGAAAAATTAATTTAAACCGATAGGTTTTCAACGTTCCTTCGCGAGCCCCGTAAAATTTTGCAAAGTGACTGAAAAAACGTGGATCCGCCTCACATAATGTCGAAAGCAGGCGAGGGGCAGGCCGCCGCGGCCGAGGGAGCGGTAAGCAACGACCTTCCACGAAGGCTGGCCCACTTTCCAGAGCTCTGAACAACGACGAACCCCCTTCGACCTTCTGTTCTCTCTCTCCTCCCAGGTGGTTGCTGGCAACGGGAACGCTGAGCTGGCCCAAGATGCGGGCGGCGAGCAGCAGCAGCAGCAGCAACAACAACAGCCCACCCGCATGGAGTCCTTCTTCGCAATGACCAAGTCGCTAATCCTGCGCGCCCTCATCATCTACTTTGTGAGCTCGTTCTTCCGGCGGCCTCAGCCGACCGCCGGTCCGCAGGACAAGAGCGTGGCCAATGCAGGACCAAAGATCACGGCCTGGAACTTCTTTGAGAACGGCACGGACTTTGACCTGCACGTGTGGCTGTCGGAGGAGCCGGATGTGGTCAACTTCCAGCAGAAGGCGAACCTACTGTGGCTGCAGGAAGACCTCACCTACGGCGACTGGACTTCGGGAGCCGCCGGCGACGGCATCTACACGCACAGCCTTAAGCTGCGGGCCAGCCAGCATGTGATGAACAATGGCAGCGTCTACCTGCACGCCTTTGTGACGCGATCGGGCGAGAGTCCGGATCCCCAGGCGCCCAACTACGCAAAGAACGGGCACATGGGACACCAGCAGCACCAGCTCAACAAGTTCAAGAAGCTGCGCGTGAACCGCAACTACAATCTGCTGGCCAGCGAGAAGGAGAAGCTGGAGCACGAGCTGAAGCATGCGAATCTCAAGGACACCATCGTCTCACACTGGCATCCCAATCTCACGGTCAACCTGGTTGTGGACCAGACCAACTGGGCCCAGGGCTCGGTGCCGCCGCCGCTCGATGAGTACGTAAAGTTTGTGGACGGCGGCAAGACATATCTGCCGATAGTGTTCGTCAATGACTATTGGAACCTGCAGCGAGAGTACTTCCCGGTGAACGAGACCACGCCGGAGCTGGAGCTGCATCTGACCTTCCAGCCGCTGGGCATGTTCAAGTGGCAGCTGTACGCCGCCAAGCAGATGAAGAACAAGTGGGCCGGCAATATGCTGGGCGATCTGATGGCCGCCAGCCAGCCGGAGGAGAGTGACGAGGACCAGGACTCGCTGAAGGAGACGCTGCTGGACACGAACATCTACCTGCTGGGCATCACCGTGGCCGTGTCCATCCTGCACTCGGTGTTCGAGCTGCTGGCCTTCAAGAATGACATTCAGTTCTGGAACAATCGCAAGTCCCTCGAGGGTCTGTCGGTGCGTTCGGTGTTCTTTGGGGTCTTCCAGTCGCTGATCATCCTGCTGTATGTGCTGGACAATGAGACGAACTTCATGATCCGCATCTCGTGCGTCGTGGGCTTGGGCATCGAGGTGTGGAAGATCCACAAGGTGGTGGACATCAACTACGATCGGGATCAGAAGCTGCTCGGCATTCTGCCGCGCATCACACTTAGCGACAAGGGCTCGTACTCGGAGAGCTCCACCAAGGAGTACGACAAGCTGGCCTTCAAGTATCTGGGCTGGGCCTGCTTCCCGCTGCTGGTGGCCTACTTTGTCTACTCGCTGATCTACAACGAGCACAAGGGCTGGTACTCGTTCGTGCTGAACATGCTCTACGGCTACCTGCTGACCTTTGGCTTCATCCTGATGACGCCTCAGCTGTTTATCAACTACAAGCTCAAGTCGGTGGCCCACATGCCGTGGCGCATGATGACCTACAAGTTCCTCAACACCTTCATCGACGACATCTTTGCGTTTGTCATCAAAATGCCGACCATGTATCGCCTTGGCTGCTTCCGCGACGACATCATCTTCTTTGTGTTCCTCTACCAGCGCTGGCAGTATCGTGTGGATCTCAAGCGTGTCAACGAGTTTGGCTTCTCCGGGGAGATGGAGCAGGATGCCAAGAAGGTGGCTGGAGCGACACCTAATGGAGCCATCGAAGCACCAGGCGCAGCCACAGAACCGGCAGCAGCAGCAGCAACGCCAGTGACCAAAAAGACAGCCGCACAAAAGAAGCGGGACTAAAAAGGGGGAAGGGATCCGCGGTTGGGGGGGTTGTTTTTGGGAACATTAGCATTAGCAATCCCCCATATATACTCCCCCGATATTGTATGTAATCACTCCAGTATACATAGTCAAGGTAACTAAGACCCAACTCAACTCAACTCGACCCAACCCCAACCCCAGCTAGCATCATTCTTAGGGCTAATTGTATGTACTTTAACGTATGTATGTTTGTTTTGTGTTTTTTTCGCTCCTTTCCGCAGCGTTGGAAGATCAAATAAATTAAGTGTGAGACAAAAATCATTATCTAATCGGGGACTAAACGTGGATAGCACCGAGATAAGCCCACTTATCATCAGGTGGCCTCAGGTCTGTGGCTTTCAGATTTGATTTAATCACAGAAAATGAGGCCACCCTAAGGTTTCAATTGAATGGAATTTATTTTTTTATAATGATTTATTTTATTTAGAGTTTTTTTGAAATTGAAGAAACCTCTGGGGTTTATAGGGTTTTGTCATGATTTTGGATTTTTTTGTTATTTTACACCTGAGGAAAATCATTTTACATATTTATACAAACGTTTTGCCACACTGTTTGTGGGAGTTTACAGCACTAGACTTGGGCAAAAGCGCGCTTGTTAAATTCAAAAAATTCAAAAAGGTTGAAAAAAAACAAGAAAGATAAAAGATTTTCATTGAAACACAAGTAAAAATAATTTTAAATTGATTAATTTTTCTTTAAGTCTCTTATTTAAAAGATATTTTTAAGTAAATAATAGTTAAAGACTGTTTTTAATCTGGATTTAATATGCAAAAAGGTTAAAGGAATTACATATTCCCCTTTTTTACACCACCCAACCTCGCTCTATCATCGGAAATAGCAGAATCACACCTACGACATCCCAAGAAACTAGCCACTGGACTTGAAGCCGCAGTCCAAGACATCGCCCGCGCCTCGGGCGCTGGGAAGAAGTCGGAAATGGAACGAAGGCAACGATAAACACACATGGACCGAACGCCGAACAGAGCTATTTTTATTGGTTTGCCTTTGGTCTTTGCTGTTGGGAAGAAGCCAGGACTTGGCCCGGGCTTTGCGTGTTTTTGTAATATTTCTCAAAAGATAAGAATGCGACCGGACCAGGGCGGCTGCTGCTGCTGCTGCTGCTGTTGCATTTGTGGCATTTAAGAGGCAACCAAGAGGACGATGACGACGACGACATTCATAAAGAGTCTTGTGCTCTTTTTAACTTAAACCAGAGATTTCCTACTGGCAACCCCTTCATTTTCCCAGAGATAACTAGAGAACCTAGGCTTAGGTTAACCCCCAAAATATTCACACAGATAAGAATCAATTCGGTGGATATTTCGAGTGCTGTCAGAGGCATTCCTGGAATTCAGCCAGTCCCAGATTCGAATTTCCAGCCTAATAAGAATAAAGATGGCCAGAGCCCCAGCCAGCGACAGCCGACATCCGACAAGAGCCCAGACAGCAGCCCATTCTCGATGGGGACACTGAGAAAAATAAAGCAAAAAATGAGGATTTCAATGAGTCAAGCTTGACTTTAAAGAGTTTTTCCTCAAGAGTAAATGTAAAATGTAGTTTTAAAATTTTTTAAGTTTTTTTTAAAGTTCATAAAAGCTTAGTTTTTGAGTGTAATTTCTCACGTATAGGGCGCCCAGTGTCCAAGACAACACACGCATGGCAGGAAAGGAGGAGATGAAGACCGAGACTGAGACTGAGACCAAGAGCTAGGTTCACATTCACACCAGCAAGATCGCCGCCACCATCGCACCAGCATCGTCTCTGGGGCAGCGAAGGGAAGTAAAACGCAGGTCCCAAACACCAAACACCGAAATTCCAGAAAACAAAACAACAAAAAAAGAAGAACAGCAACAAAAGCAAAAGCAACAACAACAACAATAAGAACGGCAAAGTAAACGACAACTAACCATAAGAAAAATGACCAGCGATAATTTTAATTTGAAACCAGTTTCTATGCTAAACAAAATTCTACGGCCCAAGATCGGAGGCGAACCAGGGAAGTAACCAAATAAAAAGGTGCCCACAAACAGAGAGAGCCAAGTCTCTCAGTCTCTCTCTGGAAGAGATATCAAGAAGAATTTCTTATATGCAAGCCCCCAAGCTGCTCCTTCCTCTCCTGCTGTCCAGCCTTCTCTGGGCTGGAGGACTGCACTGGGACCGAGTGAGCACGACTGAGCACAACAACGCAAACATCGAGTGGGTTGCACAGAAAACAAAGTCCCAGTGGGTTTGATTGGGATTTGAAGGTTTACAGATATATAAAGGTATATATAAGCTATAGATATGGAACCCTAGAAAGGTTTTTTTGGCATTCAATTTGTATTTATGTGAAAACCTTGGTGTAATTGGTATAATATATATTTTAAAGATTATATTACGATTTTTAACATACTATATTTCAGCTTTTAAAGATTTTTCTTAGATTTATTATATCCTATATTTATGCTTTTAAGGATTGTATTTCGATCTATAATATCGTATATCTTGGAGCTCTGTGCTAGCTTTTGGAACTGAAAAAAAACATAAAAATATGGAAAATATCCATTTAAAAATTCAAATATTTTCGGTTTTCCTGAAGGTAATTTTGATTTTATTTACTGAAGCAGTCATTTCCGACCCCATAAACCATATATATTTTTGATCAGCATTAACAGGCGCTTCTTTCTAGCCATGTCCGGAAGAAATTTAATTTTGAGCCATTTTTGCAAAAAAATGAAAGAGGTTACATCATGATTTTTTTCAAAATTTGACCAAAAATTTGATTTTTTAAAAAATTAAATTTAGTATGCAGATTTGTTAGCCTAGAAAAAACTAGCTTAGAAAAACTTTCCGAATAGAATTTGGTGATTTTTTGACCGAGTTATGAAATTTTATTGGTTTAAAAAGTTATGCAAAAATATATAGAGAAATATCGTTTTGAAGAAAGCGAATATTTCCAGTCTTTTTAAGGACACAAGATGCTTTAAAAGCTAGCTATTTTAAAACACAAATTTGTTTTCCCTAATATTTAATATTTAGTAATAATTTTCCATTTTCCAATTGTTTCTCTCTGCGTACTTGTCGCGCAGCAAGAAGTAACCCCGTCCCCAGAGCGGGCCAGTAATTTTTATTGTCGCTGTGTATGGGTCGCCGGTGGCTATTGAATCTCGTCGGACTGGACTGGACTGGACCAAGACTGTGAAAAAGACCAAGAGACCAACCCGAGATGAAGACTCGGCGGGCAGCATTATGGCCTAAGTCGGAGGGGCGGCTTTCCAGACGCCTCTCTCTCTGTCTCTCTCGGGGAGAGCGAACAAGAAAATGAAAAACGAAACTGCAACAAGTGAAAAATGTGTGGCAGGTAGAGAGGAGGCAGTCAGTCCTACCTGAGAGCCGCTCTCTTGCTCTCTTGTAGCCACAAACCCGTTGGACGGCTTTTCCCAGGCCTGGCTTTGGAGCCACCGTATCCGAATCTCTGCTGGGGCCAGGCTCGTTGCTCAGTTCCGTTGCGACAACTGAGCCGAGTTCAGCGATTCCGATTCCGACTCCGAGACTCGGTTGGCTTTGAAAGGCGCGCGTGCGTGAAGCCTTTGACAAGCAAAAAAAGTGAAGGTAGTGCACCCAGATTCGTGCCTCCTGCTGCAGTGCATCCGCCCTTTGATAGCCACTATATTCGCGTGGGAGTCCAGCTGGCTAAGTCCAGAATTCAGTGTCCCCAAACCTCGCGTTGCCCCAAAAGTGCAGTCTCAGTGGCTCAGTGAGTGTGTGTGTGTGATCGTTCGGTGTGTGTGTTGCCGTTGCAAATTTTTATAAGTGAAAAATTCCAACAACGTTGCTCCAAGCAGCAGCAGCAACAGCAGCAGCAGCAGCCGCAGCAACAAGCCATATACAAGAGCGAAAAATGAGGCAAAACACGTTTTGCTGAAAGAAAAAAAAAAAAAGAAGAAATAAAATAAAAGAAAAAATATGCTGCGTGTGTGTGTCCGTGAGTGCTCCTGGTAGTGATTGTGTGTGTGTGTGTGTGTATGCACCAACACCAACGCCACAATGCATGTAAAAATGTGAGGAAAAATGGTAGGTACTCATAAACATCCATGGCACTACACACTCCTCCTGTGCCTCGCCAGTTACTACTCTTGCCTGTGTGATTTCCATTTCCATTTCGGAACCCAGTTCCCCTCGAGAATCCCTACAGACAAGTCCAGAGATTTGCATAAAATCAATAAGCTCGAGCGGAACGCAAATCACTTTTTCCCAGCCAACGCGCTGGAGTCCAAAGCCAAAGCTTTGGAGAGTGGTATTTCGATGTATACGAACGTACATCTCACATACATCATCCACACAAACAAGATTAATTGTTGGATTATTATAATACAATATTATTAAAGACGTAGGCAGCTTCAACTTTGAGCCAAGTTCGAGTGGAGCTGCCACGTAATGCCTGAGAAATGGTCGTTTTTCGGTTTGTTTTCGTTACTTTTCTTTCAGCCAGGAAAGAAAGAAGGAAAATATTCCTGGAGAGCGAAATGTAAATGAATATGGAAATATGAAAAACACGTTTTCTCCACCCTCTATCCCCCCCTGCAACTGCAGCTTGCTGCAGTGAGATGTAAAGTGAAAAGCTCAAATAAAATAAAAATTCATAATAATAAGGCAACGCCGAATCGAGATCGGACTCGCCCCGCTTGGGGCATCATCACGATGCTGCTGCTCGATCTGGTTCTTGGTTCTCTTCATTTCGGCGGTTCTTGGCTCTCAAACCCTTTGTTGTGAGGCTTTTGGTTTTAGTTTTGCATTGCAAATGTCGCCTAGCCTAGCCTAGCCAAGCCGGGTATGGCTATATTTATGAGCTCTTAAAAATAGCCGCAGTATCGATATTAATGGCCTGGAAACCAGATAGCCCATAAGCTGGGTTTGGGTTTGGGAAAGTGTAAAGGAGACGGATAAAGCCATATATGCATACATCAATCAAACAAATGGGCTTTGCTTTTCTTTCATTTATTTCTTTTGGAAATATATTTAAATTTCTCTGCTGTGAATATTGAACTCTAAATGAGTTTCGTAGCGGGTTCAAGGCGGAACAGCCAACACACACAGGAGGGGCTAATGAAAGTAATACTTTCAGAGGGGAGGTGAGAAGGTGTAGTTTCCGCTATATTTTCTTTTTCCACTTTAAAGCGTAGACCTTTTTTATACCCTTGCAGGGTATTATAATTTCAGTCAGAAGTTTGCAACGCAGTGAAGGAGACGTTTCCGACCCTATAAAGTATATATATTCT